TGATATCTGTGGTCTAAGATGAGCCTGTTAGATCTCTCCCTGGTTTCCTTTGCCACATATTTTAGAGGCTGATGTATAAAGGAGGAAGAGATCTGAACTAATTGTGAGTTAAATGAGTATACTCTTCCCACCAAACTACACCACAAGCAATAATAAAAAGCCCAGGCAGACTACACATAGCTGGGGATCTTTAATGCGTTGTGTTTGGGTGAGCCAAATGTAGCGTGTCACTGCTGACAGAACATATTGGAGATCATTTTCTAACTTTTAAAGGTACTCATATCTGCCATATCATTGACGCTGACATAGTTCAGGATCATATAAATTTGTGCAGGCCACACATTGCAGCCTTGACATCCAGGCTGATGTTCCTTAGCCCATGAGGTTCTGGCTATACTCAGCAGCCATCTTAGTTCAGGTATTCGCCCAAATGGGATGACACCTGCTTACGACCTTGGAATCAAGAGCTAAATAGGTTATCTTTAAAAGTTAGCAGGAGCCAGTAGAGTGAGTACTTATCTTATGAATATGTGTCCAGGTACTGTCCACCACCTGCTTGTCCAGTAAGTTTACTACTTTCCTTAATGGTTGTATAAAATTGCTTTGGAATAAAATCGTATATATTTTGCTTTGTTCTCAAATACTTCCTGGCAGCACCCCCTTCCTGCTTTCATCCTTCTAGACTATTTGCCAGGACTTACTACTTCCATAGCGTTGGAAGATCCTCCACATCTAATTACCAGCATCAGGCCACTCCAACGTCTGTTCTTCATCCGCTGTGGCCACGCCCACTGCGGGAAGATGGCAGATCAGCTCTCCCTGCGGTCCCTGGCGTCCCAAGATCCGGTGTCTGCGGATCGTTCTTCACAGATCTAACAACTGACGTGGAAACGAAGAAGGACCTGACTTTCACCATTCAGTCCGCCTCTGGGGAGAAACCCCTGCTGGAAAACATCCTCTGAATAGGTGATGGTTTTTGGTTTGAGAGATACATCTGACCCCCCAAAATAAGAATTTATTTGCAGACTTGAGGGAATTGCGGGTGGGGGGTAGTCTTTAAAAACCCTTTATAGAAGCTTAATTATTGCTAAGCCTTGGAGCCATTGTCTGACCTCTAGAGAAAAGTCTACGCACTTGGGGAAATATTTGCTCCTTCATGATCTTCCAGGGCCCTGAAAGAGGAGAGAGGCATTCAGGGAGGGAGCGGGTAGCCAGCCACGGTTGTACGGAAGGATATCTCTCAGTTTCACATGCATTCATGGAGCAGGGCTAGTCATCTTGCTTGGTACTGGGGCAGGAGAGGTCAGGAGTGTAGCGCTAGAGGAGCTTGAGGGAGCTCTGCTCACACGCAGGGAAGAAGGCTTAGTGACGCTGCATATTCTCTTACTCCTCAGAGTACAGCTAAGTTCCCCTGGGAATAGAGAAGCGGCTTCTCTCCTCTCCCATGTATCCAGCCCCAGGTCCTGGGAGGATGGTTCCCTAAAGGGAGGGGCTGCAGTCGGCCAAATCTCAGGTCTCCACGTTCCTGAGCAGCAGGGCAGCTACGCATGTCGATGACCTGCACCCCATGGAGGCCCCGGGCCTGGAACACATGATAGCCTCTCTGACATAAAACTGCAGGCCCAGAAATCCACAGAGGCTCTTCTTTCTCATGAGCTGTGGTCATTCAGTGAGGCCTCAACTCTACTCATCCCACTGCCCCCCTGTCCCCCCAGTCCTTTCCCATCCCTCAGGGGGTCCTGAGCCAGTGGCTCCCCTGGGCCTGCCTTCTCTTGGCAGCCCTTCTGAATCCATCCCCCCTGGTCCCCTCACCTCTACAGCCCCAGCCCCCAAAGGCCACAGGAGACTCCAGAAAGTTCTGGCAGGCCCTTGGGAGCTGAGCTGGTCCTGCGTTAGCCTTTTTCTTGGCTCCAGGTGAAGAAGGCAGCAAGGCTGGCTCCCAGCCCTGGCCTGGAGACCAGCTTGTGTTGCTACACACTGTGTGGAGAGCTCTATGGCTTAGGGTCTAGCTTTGTTGTTGTTTTTTTTTTTTTTTGGTCGAACCGCACGGCGGGGTCTTACTTTCCCAACCAGGCATCAAACCTGGGCCCCCTGCAGTGGAAGCACAGCGTCCTAACCGCTGGACCACCAGGGAATTCCCATGGTTCTAGCTTTAAAATACAAAAATCTCCTTCACAAAGGAGAAGGACCCCTTTGTGAATCCTCGAGACATCACGAAACAAGGAGAAGGGCTATGGTTCTCCTACAGCTGAGAACCACAAAGCTTAGTCAGCCGTGTCTCTGGGTGGCTCAGGTCATGCATGTGGGGACACTTGAAGAACCCAGCACTTCCCAGGTGAGGCAGCTCAGAGGAGCCTGGAGTGAGTTTCTTTGGCTTAGACACATCTGTTTTTGTGAGGAAGGACAGGTTTGTCTGGGTTTGGAGAAAACCGGATGATAAAGGAGGGCCTCAGAAATGTCATGGACTCCAAGGATCTCACTGAGCCCAGAGAAAAAGCCACAGCGTTTGATCCCTCCCCTCCCCTCCCCATGGCTGGTTTTCACCTCACACTCGGACATGTATCACAAAACTCCTGTTGAACTAGCGGACCGGAACTATGAGAAAAATATTAAAATGAGTTTTGTGCATTAAACGAGGATGGTTTTTATAAATGCTTGATAACGGAGGCTGTATCGCCTCTTTACTTGACTTAGATTTCCTTAAAATCTAAATTTTAAGGTGGCCAACTCAGCTTTGGCCACCAGTTTTAGGATGGCTGATGGAGCCTCAGGTTAACCAAGTTAGTATCAGACAGACAAGCAGATAGGCAACAGGCCCATGATGTTGAGGGGTGGAGATAGAGACAGCCAGTTAAATTTCCAGGAATTAGTGGAGGGACATAAGCTCAGTAAGAGCAGGGGCCATGTCTGCCAGATCCCCAGTCACACAGCCACACCCGCCAGGTCCCAGCGCGGGGAGTCCCCTGGCAGGGCTCACTGCATGCTGAGTGGGGGGAAGTGGGACGTGCATTAGCAGCTGGAGCAGGACAGCCACCAGATAGTTTCCTTCTAGGAAGAACCCCAGTCTGCCCGCTCATTATACCTAGTTCCCCATAGAATCATTCAGGGCTGGGGAGTGGTCTCAGGTTGTCTCTGCTCCTGTACCTTGTCCTAGATGTGGATTCTATCTACTGCCTGTACTTCCCAGAAGCCTCTGTGCTCCTCTGTTGCCTGGAAACGAGACTGGGAGGAGGGAGGAGGAGGGGAACCTGGTAACCTCAGCACTACTGGAAATTGTTTTGGATTATTTGGGCTCCCAAAGGCACCTGTTAGTGACAGACAGAGCCAGCTGCCTCCTTAATCTGGACGAGTGATGGCAGCGCCCCGTTTGGCCAAGGCTAGCCCCGCAGCTTGCCCGCTGCTCCTGGCTGGCCCCATGTCTCTCCAGGGCCAGGGAGCACACTGCCATGGGAGTTGTAGGAGCACAGCCTGAAGGATGGGCTACCCTCCTTTCCCCTGAGTTCATTTTCTCTTTAAAATCCACAGGAGCTTGAATCACCTTCAATTTCAAAAGTCCAAGTCAGGTGATGGTTACTGATCCCTGAGCTGAGGAAATTAGTCTCTTATCTCAAGTCAAGGTTTCTTGGCGAGAGCCCAGGTGAGCCTTATGCAGCCAGGCAGGTCTGGAGTAATCTGAGGAAAAGGTCCAGATGGCAGCAGGGCAGGGCAGGCACAGCATCCTTCACCATTGCTGTGTCTCCTCTACCTTCCTGGGCTTCTCTCTTGGCTCTGCCAGGACAAACTCACTTTGGGAACAAGAGTGGCCCACCTTGGTCACTCTAGAGCCTGGAGCCCAGGCCATCCAAGAGAGAAGGAGAAGCCACTAAGGAGCCCGGGATGAGAGGGGAGAACTAGGTGCCCTGGCCTTGGAGCTAAAGAAAAGGGATTCATGGCCGAGAAAGGTGGCTTCCACTTGGACCAGACACATCTATCTTAATTCCTTGTTTAAACCTCAGCTACACAGGGGAAATGAAATGTCACGTATGGAACATAAATGTCATCTTGTTTCACTCCCAGAAGTGACCCCATCTCCCTCCAGTATCTCTGCCCGAGGTGATCCTGGTTCTGGCTGAGCACTGCCAGGCATGGGGACCTGCTCCCTCCAGGGCAGCCCAAGGTAAGCCGTTACCCGGCTGGCCTCCTGCTAGCTTGGTCAGTAGCTGTTCATATTGCCCACGGAGGAGCCTGCCTCCAGCTCCCAGCACCGCTCACACGTGGATGTATCCTAAGCACCTAATCCTGAGGCTGGTCCAGAGAACGCTGCCCCTGAAGATGAGGGACTGGGCTGAGAGGGCCAGCGTCTCCTCAGCGCTGCCATGGAAGTGAGCAACGGGACCACTCCCAGGCCTGGGCACTCAGCTGGTCACAGGAGGCTTTCTTTCCTGCTTCTTATACCTGTTCTCTTCTGGATCTTGTCTGATTTTCTCAGGCAGGCTTTTGGGCTTATTTCTCTTCCTTGCCCTTAGGTCCCAGGGTCCAGGCCAACCACAGGGTGGGCAAGTGGCTGGCTGGCTTTCTCTCCTGGTCCAGACACAGAGGGATTCCAGCTAGGAAGAGTGTTCATCTTCTGGAACCCAGCTCAGCTTTAAGTGAACAACCCGGAGGCCTGGGCTTTAGTTTAATTATCAGATTTCAGTGTGGGCATTCTTTGGAGTCAGGTACAGTCGAGGGGATGGGAAGAGGCTCTCAGATTTCCTCAGGGCTCTCTGGTAAACTCGGCATACGTTTTAGTCTATGTTCACTTCATCTTCATGACTGCCCGTGACACAGTCATTAAGACTTCCTGCCTACCCACCTCCTGGCATTCTCCCACCCCATTCTGCCCGCATATGACAGATGAAGGGGCTGACGCAGAAGGAGTTTCAGTGGGAAGGCAAATCCAGGGCCTAGAGTTCAAGTTCAAGGGCTAGGAGTTCAGGTCTTCCGCCTCTCCAGTTAAGGGTCGCTCGCTTCCAGGCCTCTTCAGCCCATGCAGCTTCTGCTCCCGCACCCGCTCCCGGCCCCTGCACCAGTGGGCGCGGTTTGAGAGCTAGGCCCTCAGCTCAGGGGGTGTATCTGGCTGCCGGCAGGGGTGAGACACTTGGAAGGCCTCCAAGGCCAGCAGTGACTTGTTGATACGGCTGATGGTAGGGTAGGGAGTGAGATCCACCTTGAACCTGTGGCAGAGAAACATCCACCTAAGCCAAGGTCTGCAGGGGCACAGGGAGACTGCCCTGCAGGCGATGGGGGAAGCACAGAGGCAGGGCTGGATGAGGTCCCTGGGGCTGGCCAGGGAAGGCCTAGGTAGGAAGCCCTGCCAGGTTGGGGGTCCTTGTTCACAGGTAGCTCTCTGGCGAGGGACAGTCTTGTGCAGTATCGTCTGGCATCTCAGTTTCCTACTGCTCCTATTGGCTATCTATACAACCTACTATGTGTAAGGCCAGTGCTGGGCATTTTTATACAGATCATCTCCCCACCCATGTCATAAGCTTCTCAGGCGCAGGGAATGTGTCACACATTTCCATACCCCTAACAGTGCCCAGCACGATGACTTCCACAGAGAGGCTCTCATCTGTGCCCTCCTGAAGGGCTGATGGAGCAAAGCAGACGCAGAGCTCACTGCCGGGCACAGACACACCACGTCTGGGGAGAGCAGGCTCTTGGAGTGGACTCTTGCAGGGGCGTCCACCAGGTGACACGCATCCTCTTAGGAGAGGGTGCTATGCGGTATCACCCGGGCTGCAGTGGGCATGGGAAGGGTGTTACACTGGCTTCTGCCCATCTCTTACGGCCACAGTGGCTGTTGGGGGCAGTGGGGGAGAGTCTGCATGAGATGCTACCTCAGTCGATGAAGTCAGGGCCTGACTGTAGGAGGGAGCTGGGCATTGTGAGGGGAGGAGCCAGGAGGAAGAGGGAGGGTGGCAGGGCTCTCTCTTACCTGTCAGCATTTGCCACCTGAGGCGCTAAGCACAGATCAGCCATGGACACCTGCAAAGAGGGTCGGGCAGGCTTGCATCAGGGTGCGCACCCCAGACTCCCACCGGTGACAGCACTGGGATGCTGGCCGCTGGCATTCCCCTCTGTTTCTGGCTCTTCTACCCCACCCCCACTGCCCCACCCCCTCCTCATCTCCCGGGCCCGGCTGGGTCTGTCCCTGCAGCTGAAGCGCTTCTCCCAGGCTACACTGCAGTTGCGCTGACAACCGACTCTGTGGGTAGCCAGAGAAGGCTCGATTGCCTTAGTGGATGTTACTGTGCTTGTTCAAAATTGCCACCACAGGCACTTAGTGAGGGCTCCCAGCAGGGAGGGAAAGCCTCTGGGTGCAGGTGGGGGACTCTGGAACCAGAATTACCATAGAGCCAGGGCCTTAGCCTGTATGAGTCAAGGGCACCTGAATCCTAGAATCCTAGCATTGGAAGGGAATGGAGACATCACCTAGTCTGATCCCTCATCTGATGGCTGGACCACCTCCTCATCTCAGAGATGAGGTCTTCAACTGGAATACCTCCAGCAATGAGAAACTCACTTCCTTTTGAGGCAGCTGACCAGGAAGGAGCTGAGAAGCTCCCCGTGAGCTAACTTCTGCTTAATGCAGAGAGGACGACCTTGGGTTGCTGACTCCCCACCCTTGCTACAGCTGCCCCCTCGGGAAGCTCTCTGAGCTGTGCCTGCCCTGGGCTGCAGGGAGGTAGCTGAGTCTAAGCGGAAGACAGTGGCAGCCTGAGGTAGGCCTGAGGGAGGAGGCCACCCCCATGGGCCTGGGGAGAGCTTACCTCATCTCCCACACAGTACGTCCCTGCTGTGCTCTGCAGGATCTGCTCCAGAGCTGGTGGGAAGCAACAGGAATAGTCTAAGGGGAGAGCAGCCTTTCTGGGCCTTGGTGCATAGCTATGACATGGCAGCTATCTGAGTGGCAGGCTGGAATGTGTGCTAGAGGGAACACGGCAGTCAGATCTGGAGAGAGGTGATGGGCACATGGGGATAAGATGATTCCTCCCTGTGCTCTGCAAGTTCAGCTACCATTTCCTCCTCTGAGGGGACAAGGCCTGCCACCGGCCAAGGCAGCAGTTCTCACACTGATATGCTGGCACTTTGCTGGCTTTGGCTTCCTGCCTGGAGTGGGCAATGGAGCAGAAGTTGGGCCATCCATCTCCAAAAGGCCTCAGGCATGAGGTTCCCAGAAGTGCCAGGGGTTGAGGCCAGGTTGGATTCTGCCCAGCCCACTGCCTCCTCGGCCCTGCCCCCCCCCCCC